TATCGCTTAAGCTTCGCTTCTAGAGAAACGGGGTTTTCCACAGAAGTAAGACGAGAGATCTGAGCTCATGGACAGCTGTGCTTTGGTACAGGATGTGGTTTAACACCTGCAAGGAATCAGCCGTATCTCAGTCTGTGTAGGGGTGCATGTGTGTTTTGTGTGTGTTTGTGTGTGTGTACAGGCTGCTGGCTGATTCTAACTGGTTGAAATGAGATCTGAAGATGGGAAGGCGAATAATGGATTGGAGGCTCATCGAGAGTGGGGAGGAGACAACCAAGAATAAAAACTGTTGTTTTATGAATTGTACGGCAATACTGGAGCGCCCAGTTTGCCTTTTCATGGTGTCTCTTCAGTATTCCTGGGCTCAGCATTGTTGATCTGATCCTTCGTTTATTAAACTTTGATTTCTCGATAAAGCTAAGTTTCCTGCGTCTACTTTCAAGCGAATCCTGAACTCGGGGAGGGAAAAACCATTCCCAACAATGGTTTAAGTCAAATATTGGACTTTTTAGTGCTCAGTGAATTTAGGAATGTTAACCTCAGACGAATTAAAAAATTACCTTTCCTTACCAGTATAATTAGCATTAATTGAACACGTAATAAAGTAGCACTACACCACACAAATATGGGACATTTTCAAATATCAAGCTCATCTGGTACGCACAAGTCCGTTTCTCTTAAAAAAACGTTAAAAATGAAAGTAAAAATACACTCAGTATATACACTTATATAAGTATAAGAATGACCTATTTAAAAGCTTTCCCGCGTAATTTTTGCATAACAAACTTGACTAACCTGATTATACAAATTGCACGGAGTGACAAGTCAAATCAACCAAATAATACAATGGATTTTAAATCAGAACTCATAACTGTATCGGCTATACAGCACACTATTAATACTATATAATTTAAAACAACTTTGACGTATCACAGTAAAAAATGGAAAGACATGGATGCACTTTAATTTCATTTATCTTTAAGTTCATATATTTTACTTTTTCTTACCTGAAAGAAAACATTAGGTTAGTTGGTTTGGTAAGGTAACCACATGGGCTGGGCCGAGGTAAATTCATGAGTATGTTAGGAATAGTACCTAGTTATTAATGGTTATATGAAATAATCATGGCAGTGTACAGAATACAAAACAGGACTGTAAAAATGGGAGCTATGAAAATATTCTACAATGAACTTCAGCATTTGTTAAACACCTTGTAAATGTGACATTATTACTACAAAAACTGCTATTCAGTGACATTGAAGGATGCCAGATTCTTTCCATCTGCAATTAAATAATGTGCGTTAACTTCTGTATATAGCATTAAATTTGAGAAAGTTTGCTACAAAGCAAAATCCTAGAATAGTTTGTATGTTTCTTTCAAGTAACTAAGTACATACGATTTTTTTGCATTATGTAAATATGGTCAATTGTTTTTATAGTTGGGGTTATATGATCTTTTATATACAGTAGTCAACATTTGAAGTGAATCAAAACTAGGGGTGAGTCATGTGGCAAAAATGCAATCTTGATTAATTCTTTTTCATATTGAAAAATGATATATATTTTGATGTCGTTTGTTAAAGCTTCTAGATTTAAACATTTTCCCAACAATGACTGAAGCTACAAAAATTAGTGGCTCCATCAAATAGCATAACCTATTTTCGGTGGCCGAAAATTTGGTGCATCTCTAACATCAACAGGCTTCTAGATTCCCATTGTTGTATTTTCTGCTGTGTGATTGGCTCTTGGATCAATATAGAGAAAAACAGTCCAAAGCTTATAATTGATATTGACAATTTTGTTGCGAATTCGATATAATATTATCAATCAGCCCAGCCCTAATCAAAACTTTATCAAAGTTGTCTTTAAGCTTAAAAAAAAAAACACCCATTATTTTCTTAGAACAATTGACCACTTCAAATGTTGATTACTGTGTATTAAAATTCAGACAAAGAAAGGACAACACGTTTACAAACTGCACAATTTATTTGTCATTGTGCTACCAATAACTTTTACAGTGTAAAAAAGCTAACAATTTCACAAATAAAGGAGACACAGCTTCACATAAAACTGAGACAAACTGTAAATTAACCAACAAATCTTCCAATCTTGTTAGAAAAGAAACCAACACACTCTTCATTCTCTCATCTCTCCATCTTCTTCCTCTTCTTCTACTCCTCTAATGTACAAAACATTATTACACCTGCAAAGAAGAAAACATTGATGTAATAATTTAAAATGTACATTTTCAGTTATTGCCATGTCGGAGTTTCCACGTCCAAAAGCTTACCTGATGAGCACCTCACCAAGATGACCAGCTAACGCTAACGCTCCATCCACATACTCTTCTGTGTTGGCCAACTACAAATATCGCAAAGAGAGAGGCAGTTTAGGGTTTATTGCCATATCAGTTTTGCGAGTCTTATAACAAAAGTATATGAAATATACAAAATATCATTACAATATATGTAACAATAAAAAGACAAACAACATTAACAAATAAAATTAGATAAAAACTTAAAATAGTTTAATTCTACCATCTTCGAAAGATTCACTTTTTTTTTTTTTTTTTTTAAATAGTTGCTTTAAGGCACAGGTGTCAAACTCAATTCCTGGAGGACCAAAAGCTCTGGACAGTTTAATTCCAACCCTAATTAACCACACCTGATCAAACTAATTGAGTCCTACAGTCGTTTGAAACCTACAGGTAAAGCGGCAGGCACACTGCACCCCTATAGACTTCCATTTATTAGCAAGTAAATGCCTTAGACAGGAAACGCAAGCTCGTGCCACAAGTTTCGCAGTTCGATGTGTTGGAAACTTAAAGCTTGGTGAACTCTGACCAATAGAAGATCAAAACACGACCTCTCTGTACAGAAATTTTAAATATGGTCAAATCGTAATCAGCTTGTTTAATCCCGCCCCTTTTTGCAGCACCAAACGGCAGAATTTCACATGCTCAAACTGTAGTGTGGGGAAGCAGGGTTGCAACTAAACTATGCAAGACTGCGGCCCTCCAGGAACAAAGTTTGACATCCCTGCTTTAAGAACTCTCCAGATAAAAATGGTTATCTAAAACATTTTAAACAGGGCATTGCAAAAGTATCAACTCGAGTTGAGTTTTATTGTCATTCCGCTACATCTGTGGACACACAGTGAAATGTCTTGCAGGACCACAGTGCAACATAAATAAACTATCATAAATATAAACAACCCTTATAGACATAAGAGCGATTTTAAACCTATACATAACTACATAGCAGAGCAGTAATTAACTATACATGTACTAAAGACCTTTTTGAGGGATGTAAACAATAACAATGGTCCTACTGTATTTTCAGTAGCTTCTGAGAGTCCAAAAAGTCCCACATATTGATAGTTACAATAGCTGTTATAATAGCTGTTATATAAGTTATGAATGAATCGCCTCTTGTTACAGATATGAATTGACAACAAGCAGGAAATATTCATGGGCCAATGGCATCACCACATTGAAACGGTCTATAAATAGTAAAAAAAAAAAAAAACTTTACGCATAACCTTAGACAGACTATACAAGTACTTTTATATAAGACAGAACAATATTGTGCAAAAGAGATCATTTAAGGTTGAAGGAAATGACCAGTTAAACAATTTGTGGTACAGTCACAGGTAAACATTGTTTTTTTTTTTTTATTAAGTCCTTGTAAGAGATCTAGAAAAACTTGCATTTAGAGAGATTAGCATTTCTACAGGTGGTTTGTCAAGCCCACTCACCTGTGTGAACCAATCTCAGAAATGCACAATGTTTTATAGAGCTATGAAGTGGTTGAAAGAGAGGGTCTGGTACAAATAGACAAAACTAGTGCAAGTGTGTCAAGGAGTGTTTATAAAGCCCACTCACTTGTGTAAGGCACACTCAGAATTGCTAAATATTGAGGTTTTCATATGAAGTGTATATGCTTGACAGCTAGGTTGCCATTACAATATTTACATTTTTGGCCACCTTCTGCTTTAAGCAGATGTCTGTGTGTGTCTAGCATCTCCATAATGGCATATACAACGGTATGTCTCGAGTTAAAAAGAATAGTTTAAATTTTCTTCCTACTAAGGAGCTGGATTTTCATAGAATCGTTAACTCTTTTAAACATACCTGCATGTTCATGTACCCATCCACTGACACCAGGTAGCCCTTGTACTCCATGCCCCACTTCAGCTTCACCATCACAGGCTTTCCTGTCAGACCATTCAGAAAGGGCTTTGGGTTCAGCGGCAAACTCTGAGGGAAAAGATCAGTGTTACACAATTAACATCATTCGAAATCAATCCCTAAGTGTCATTTTCAAACAATTCCATGTCAACATAATATTGTTCCTGAAGAAGTAAAATACTACAAATGTTGATGATTTTATTCTCAAGTGAGTGAAAAGCTTAGAAGAAACTTTAGCATAGCCTCCGGTGATGCTCAGTCATATTTGACCAAATAGAAAAAAAAAAAGATTTACATTTTGGGTTTTAGTTTTTTTTCTTCATCAGCTTGTTATAACTTTTAGTAAAAAGTTTTGACACTAGCCGCATGAATTTACACAAGCAAAATAAACAAATAATAAAAACAAAACAAAAACAGATACAATTGATATGACTTCATTTTAAATTGTAATGACAAATTCTCATTACTGTAGTTTGTGGTATAAAAAATCAAAACACGCATGCATACACACAATATATATATATATATATATATATATATATATATATTGTATAACTTCAATAAAACAATATAATAATTTACAGCATTAATTGTTTTTGGTTTCCACCAGAATTAGCTGCAAATAAGCATCAGTAATAGCAGAAAAAACTCCTTTAACGTTAGTTTTTATCTTTAGTTTTCCCACACATATATCATTTAATCGCATTTTGGGAGTCACCGACTAGGTTGTAAGAGAACAAGGAGGAACATTTATCAGCAAAGCTCAACATTTCTAACACAACACTGAAAATGACTGAAAACAACGTCCAGTCTGCGTTCCTGATGCTAACACCTAGCCGCATTATCAGCGTATTTATGAATGAAAACGTCTACGCTCTTTCGCCAAACTGAAGGTTTGGATACAAATAAAAGAGATAACGATGAACTTACCATGACTGGATTACTTAAGTAGTATTTTCAGACACAAAAATTGTTTATTTGAATAGTATAAGCTAATGCAGCACACTCGCACGCCTTGCCGCCGAAAGAGGGAAGGACTACGAGCGCACTTTGACCGCACGGCAGGAGAGAAGAGCGGATCTGCCCGCTGCGCCACTCGCTGGACAGGCGGGGAATAGAGCCGTGAATCCTCAGTTGAGCTGGAGTGGAGGTCTGAAATTAAAGAAATAGTTTATCCAAAAATAAAAATGTACTTACTATAAACTATTTCCGTTTGATGATGTCGTTGGCCCATAAACATTTCCTGCTTGTTATAAAACTGTTTCACAGCTGTATCAAGAGGCAATTCAACCATAACTTAATGTTAAAACAGTTCTTATAACATTATTTATCAATATGTGGCTCTTTTTAGATTCTCGGAAGCTATAGAAATTTAAAATGTAAAACAGGAAATACGTAAGGACCATTGTCTTTTGTTTAGATTCCTCAAAATTGTCTATATAGTCACCCTTGAGGGGTTTCTAACCTTAATGAGATTCTTTTTTTTCATTTGAAAACAAAAATAAGATATTTGGAAGTATGTTAAAACTGGTATTGTTGTTTCGAAAATGTTGGACACCGGTAACTATTGGCTTCTATTGTATTTGTTTTTCATCATATTATAGAAATGGTTACCAGTTTCCAAACATCTTCTTTGGTGTTCAGCAGAAGAAATAAACAAGTGAAGGGTAAGTAAATGAGAACATAATTTCATTTCATCACTATCCCTTTAAAAAAATTAATATGTATAAATTATTTTATATATTTATTTTGTACCATTTTTAACAACTCCCAAAACAGCAGCAGTGGATCATTTTATCATTTCATTCAACGAGAACGGAAACTTGCAATCATTTACAGTCTTTTAGATTTGTATTTGAAAGCACAACACATCTAATTTCTCTTTGATTTGTACAGTAATTTAGCTTTGCAAAACTATTGACCCTCAATTATATAAATAAAAAAAAATGCAAATATCCCACATCAATCATTTAACCGAAGACTTGCCCAGTAGGTTTTTGCATTTCATTACCATCTATTCAAAAGAGGTCATGTTTGAAATGTCATGTACAGTGGTGGATAGTGATGGACAATATTTTCTTCCCCAGAGAGGGTGTATATAGTTAGGTTAGTTAGTTAGCTAGCTAGTTGGTTAATTTATTTGTCCCTGTAGGGTAATTTCATTTGCAGTATACACTCACAGAGACAACTAACATTTCAAATTTGCCATTTATATAAATAAATCATGAAAAACATGGTACCCCTACTCTAAATAAATATCTAGACTACTGGCCATCAACTGCTACTGAGGGAGGAGGAATTTAAAAACTTAACTGCTTACGGTATAAATTAAGATTTTGTCCTATTTCTCACTTATCTGGCAACACAATAGTGATGACCTGATAATAACACTTGGAAGGTGTATGGAAAAGGATGTCACTCATCTTTGACAATCATGATAGCCTTATTTAGTACTCTTTCTTTGTATGTACTATCTATCAATGCTCTTTAGTTTTATTCCCAACAACTTATTGGCTGTAGTTGCCACCTTCCCCAGCAGTGACCTTTTCTGGGCCTCAGAAGCATGTCCATACAAACAGATCACACAAAGTGTTGCAGTACTTGAATAAAAGTACTATAAAACATGATAAACAATGTGTTGTCAACATTAAAAGATAATTGTTTCTTAAGGAAGTAATTTCTCTGTTGAAGCTTTTTCTTTTACAGTCAGTCAATACATCCCTTAAGTTTATTGTCTAACACACTCAGATATTTATAATTTATTACTAACTGAATTTGCTCCTCATTAATTAATGTGGGATGAGTTTTGCGTTGTGCTCTCTCTCTAAAATCAATAACCATCTCCTTAGTTTTAGGAATATTTAGGAGAAGGTTTGAATTTTTACACCAGTTTTAAAAGAAGTCCCTCTTCCTTCTGTATAGAATATGAATATCCTCCTTCTATACAAAAGATAGATATCAATTTGTAGGTCCTGTAAGAAATATGTTTTTCATATTGTAGATTAATGCTATACTTTAGCAATGTGTTTGTGAATGAATCAAAGCTTTAGAAAAGCTGCCTGAAAGCCCACAGTAGCGGATTAGAGCGGAAATCTTTTGCAGATCCGCATTCCAGACATTTACTTTTTCAATATTTCAGAAAGTGACCGGCCTTTCATCCTTTACAACCTTCCTGTTGACCAGTCCTTAAAACGCGACCTTTCTGCTTTCATCAAATAAATGTACAATCTTTTCTTTTCCTGTCAGCTGATTTCACATGATTCAGATTTCGAAATATCCCCTAATGCTTTGATTTCATAGACAGAATGAAAATGATCATATTTGGAACCAGTTCTAATGAGTTCAAACAGGAATGATCAAAGAATGGTCAGAAAAGACGGAAAATTCTTTAATAAACTGTATTATAGTTATATAAATTATACATGCATATAATTAAGTTGATCAAATAATATTTTCTTTTCTGAATGTTCTTATATATAAAGGGTGTGTGCAGTGTGCGAATTATACATTGACGATTGGGGGTGTCAACTTTTTTCGGTAGTAGTTTGGTAATACATGCTTCAGTGTATCAAATTCAGGAATGCATTTACATTACATCTAATTTATTAATAAAATGTATTCGTTTTTAGTGTTTTGAGGGATATTCACAATCTCACCTCACGATATACACAATCTCATGGCAATTCATAACTTTTTGATTTAGTGGCTAATTCGTATGAATTTGTATGATCTAATTTGTACAATTTAGTACAATTTGCTCATCCTCCAATGACGGCTAGGTTTAGGGGTGGAGTTGGGTGCCACGCCTCCTTTTTAAAATCGTACAGTTTCGTACAACTGATCTCATACGAATTCGTACAAATTAAAAATGTTTAGTGACTATTTTAGAGGTTACTGTCAGTTAAACTATACAATTTTTGTGTCTAATGTTTATTTTTTAAGGCTACCCACAGATATAAAAACCTATTTGTCAAGAACCGTGTTTTGTGAATACTTGAGATGTCTATCAGTGCTCTAGAACTGCCAGTTTTAGACTGTTGAGTGATAATTTTGACCATACATGCATTCACAATGGAATAAAGTGTTATACGTGCATCAAATGTATAATGTATTATACATTTTTAATGATTAATATTTAAGATATAGATCAGAGGTCAGAGAAAGCTATTTCTTACTAAAGGGCTGACCCCCATACATCTTGTTGTGATGTCCTTCGATGTCCTTGTTTTGATGTCAAGTATTTGACATCCTCATTAACCACCAAAAGCAACGCGTGTGTGTGTGTGTGTGTAAATGACAGATTTTTACTTACATAAATAAAAAAATATAGGCTGCTTAATGAATAATATGATTAGAGATATTCATGGTCATTTGTGATAAAAACATGAACTATTAAAGAGCATCTGAGACAAAACTCTATTTTATGCAGAATAATTACATATCAAATTAGCAAAATAAATGTCAAAATTGCTTTAAATGTGCTTTAAAAAAGGTTTAACACTAACACTTTAAAATAAGATTGAATATCTTAAGTCTATTATTAACAGATAAAACATTTAACAATAGGAGGAATCTTAAACTCTTAAAAATATTTTTCCATTGTTCATTTATTAACTAATGTCAACAAATGGACCATTAAAGTGCTAGTGTAGATGGACTAATAAATTTTAACTGTAATTGATAATACAACTCTGTAAATAAATGACTCAGTACAATGTCCATCTGATTTCAAAAGACCACCCACATGCCTTAAAGGGATAGTTCCTGCAAAAAGGAAAATTTATGCACTATTTACTCTTACACATGTGGTTCCAATCCTTTTTTAGTTTCTTTCTTCCGTTAAACATAAAATGTAGGCGTTTTGATGAAAACTGAAAATCGTTAACACTGTAAAATATTATATGACAAAAAGTCTCGACAAGAAATGTTATTATGTTACTTTAACTTATTTTCAGAGTGTGGGGGAAGATATCAAAACATGTATTGTGGGGGGGGGGTCTGCCCTTTAATAGTTAATATATATATTGTTCTGATCTGTATCTTAAATAAAAATAATAATTAAAATAGATAACTTCAATATACATTTGAGTGTTCAAAAACTTGCTTCTTTAAAAAGGGCTTTGTAGGTGTCTGTAAAACTCAATGCATAGTTTGTATTTTATTATACACTGGCTCGCACATGGAAGTTCTACAGTAAAATAAAAAAATACATGCAGTCATTATGGTCATCTATTAATAGGTGCAGGAAAGCAAATCTGTCACTGTTTATTTAATATCACAAATGTCATTGAGAGCCATTCAATATCCCTCAAAACACTGAAAAGTTAATGTGATGTAATGTGCAAGCTAGACATATAGACTGATGAAAGAGCCAGCTTTAATATCACATTGCCCCGAACTATTACTGTCGTTTTTATAAAGGGGCAAAGTGTACATTGTTAAAATAGGTTGGCTTTCTATCTGGTTCAGTTAGAGTTAGGCCATAAAGAGATGTATTTACTTGATACTGTAAGTAAGAAGGTCAATGTGTATTTATATAGCGCATTTATTGTGTATACACACCCAAAGTGCTTCAATCATGAGGGGGGTCTCCACGCTACCACCAGTATGCAGCATTCACTTGGATGATGCGACGGCAGCCAAAGGACAACTGCACCAGTGCACTCACCACACACCAGCTATTAGTGGAGTGGCGTGACAGTGATAGAGCCAATTCAGTACATTAAGATAATTGGGAGGCCATGATGGTAAGGGCCGCAAGGGAATTTGGCCAGTACACCAGGGTTACACCAATACTCTTTATGAATTATGGGATTTTTAATGACCACAGAGAGTCAGGACCTCGGTTTATCGTCTCATCTAAAAGATGGCGCCCACTGACAGTATGGTGTCCCATTCACTTTTACTGGGGCATTAGGACTCACACAGACTGCAGCTTGAGCGTCCCCTGCTGGCCTCACTAACACCACTTTCCAACAGCAATCCAGTTTTCCCATGTGGTCTCCCATCCAGGTACTGACAAGGCTCAGCTCTGCTTTCCTTCATTCTTGAGCTGCAGGGTGATCTGGCTGTGTGGCTGTAACAAGTTTGATTTAATAAATTAGATGCAATTGAATTAAATATATAAATTTGGTTCACTGAGGCATATTACTGAACATAATCGAAAAGACTTGACCCCCTGATCACAAATGTATAATTTTCATTCATGCTTATTTTAAGTTAAACAGGTTTCAAGTGCATTTTTGCAAAGTTATGCAAAGTTTAACTCAAAATGTTTAGTCTGTTTGACGGATGTATGTCGAGTTGACAAGAAGTTTGTTTGGTTCAAAAAAAAAAAAAAAAAGGCAGCAACTATTTATACAGGGAAATAATTACTTTTTAGCTTTAGGTGAACTATGCAGTGTGAATACAATCAGCTTAAACACAATGCCTTTTATTTCTCAAAATAGATTACTTTTCGAAAACCTTTAAAGTTTTAGAAGCTCAAAACCAACAGCATTTGAAGGAATACTTTTGAAGAAATAAGTTTAATTACTTATAACTTCTATTTAATCTGTCAATGTCAGATTGGGAGATAGAAAAAAGCTGTTCTTTTAGACAGCTGCGAAAGTGAGAGTGCTGAAAAGCGAGAGCACAACCTAAGATGTGACGTTGAATGACTCAGGCCAGGAATGCTCCATTAACCGGAGGAGGTGGGAAAAAAATGCAGGAAAGGGGGGGTGGCCTGCGCTATTCAAAGCTCCTGTCACTCACAGGCGCTCCAGATTCCAGCTCAGGTGTTCAGAGCCGCGCGCGCGCTCACAGCAAAAACACGCGCACTGCTCACTTCTACACGAGCGGACAGCTGTCAACGGGAACACGCTGACGATTATTTGAGATTACATACACACAAACACCAATGGCGCTGTCGTGCGAGATTTCTGAGCTTTTTCAGGTGAATAGTTTCTGTTTGTCATGGGGGCAGATCGCCTCAGCTCAGCGTTTGCGCACCTGGCCAACCCACGCCAATGAAGTCGTGCTCCTACATGCAGTCTGAAGGGCTCCGGAGCGGAGTCGGGTTCCCGTGTTTATTGTGGATTAAACCACTTATGCTGCTTGATACGCGTAATTTGTGGATTTGTGTGTGTTTTTCTTCTCCTGGATTGATGAGCACTATGGAGCTGACGGGGAGATGTGTGTTGTTGGCGGCGCTGGTGATGAGCGTTCCTCACCACGCGTGTTCAGGTCAGTGTTTTTACTGTTTTTTTTTCTATTGAGGTAAAGCTGTTTTTTGTTCAATTTTATAAGTATTATTTGCAAATTCCAAATAGGAAAATCCTATTAGGAGTTAATGACTATGACTATATTGGCTACAACATTGTTCAAAGTTAATTAAATAGTGCTAATGTTTAATTTGAAGTCATGTAAGTCAGACCGAAACTAACGTGGTAAACAATACCTTCCATAGAGATATTCACAATCTTTTTAAGTTACAAATATAATTCGTTGTACTCATAACAGTACGTCATTATATTTAATATGTATTAGCCTATTTAAATTCTGCTTTACTATTTTATTAACCGCGAAAATCCGAATGAGAGAATAATATAAAACCAACTTTATCTCAATGTTTACTCTACTGTTCACCTGCACGTGCGATCAAAACACGCTGGCTGCTGTTCAGCTAAACAGAGACGCGTGCTGCGAGATGAACTGAGTGACTGAAACTGATTGAGAGAGATGTGGTTAATTTTTGAATATGCAAAAGCAAACTTTGCATGTGATGTTGATGGATCCTTACAATTTGCGTACACTGCATTTGTGGGTGATTGATGCACGTTGAAAGTGTGTTATAATGATAAAAAAAAAACATTAAATGCGATGACCACTTGAAGATGATCAGAATTTACTAATTATTTACTAAGTAAAATTAGTGCTATTCTGTATGTCTTGTTTTTCATCGTACCCCCCCCCCCCCCCCAAAAAAAAAATTACATTTGGTCTAAATAACAAATGTTTTGTTATTCTATTAAATAGTGATTTCTTAACTCCTCTAAATTCGAAGTCTAAAAATGATAGAAAATGTTTATTGCACATTTTTAATTATATGCAAAAAAAGAGCTCTAAATTGGGAAGAAATGTCATCTGTAGTTTATGGTATAAAAAAAACAAGTGACGATATTCAAATAACAATAAATACATTTAAAAAAATTTAAGTTGTCTAAATTAACAATACGCACCTTTTGTCCCATTCAAATACCTATTCAAAATTTGTGCATCTTTGAAATTCTAATAAATTTTGTTTTCCTCCACCTACTCACAATTTTGCTTCATTAATTGAATACATGTATTTTAAGATGTCTAACACTGTATACAGCATTGAAAGTTGGTAATGAAAGCTCAAACAAATTTGGTTGGTGTGTGAGAACCATGTTTGTGTATCATGTGGCGTGTTTGATCTTTCACAAGAACCACAAGATTTCTTCTATAATATATATATATATATATATATATATATATATATATATATATATATATATATATATATATATATATATATATATATATATATATATATATATATATATATATATATATATATATATATATATATATATATATATATATATATATATATATATATATATATATATATATATATATATATATATATATATATATATATATATATATATATATATATATATATATATATATATATATATATATATATATATATATATATATATATATATATATATATATATATATATATATATATATATATATATATATATATATATATATATATATATATATATATATATATATATATATATATATATATATATATATATATATATATATATATATATATATATATATATATATATATATATACATACATATATATATATA